ATATTCAACGTATATCTTTTTGAGCCATATAAGATGGTGAATATTTCAAAAAAAAGACAAATGCCACCTCTTTCAATAGAAGTGGATAACAATAAAGAATTTGAGGTAGAAGAAGTTTTAGACTCAAAAAGATATCAAAATAGATTGAAATATCTTATTCATTGGCATGAATATGATATTAGTGAATGTACATGAGAGCCAATAAAGAATCTTACAAATGCAGCAAAGAAGGTTGATGCTTTTCATTGACAATATCCATCAAAATCAAAATAAAGTATAGCAAATCTTTGTTATAAAAGAAACAAGATTTAAGAAAAATAACATTATATTTTTTATCTTTTTTTATAATATATATATGGCACTAAAAAAATAGAGATAAACAACCAACAAATTCCATACAAGAACTATTATTTACTAACTTATTTGACAAAATATTGTAATTTTTATAGTCTTTAAGTTGATGTAATTGAGATGAAGATCCTCAAGAATGACATGTTCTTCTTTGAATAGATGATAAAATACAAAGATTTTGGTATCATGACCTTAGAAGAGATTTTCAATGTTATGTGATTTTATTGGATGTAGAAACAATTCTTGATGGTTTTATAAATATATTGTTTGAAAGAAGTTGTAAAGATTTCAATAATGATCATATAATAGGGTAGTCTTCTTATCTTAGAATGGGACATTAATTATGGCTAAGAGGACCTATGAACTATATTCAAAAGAAACAAAGATCAAAGTATATAAGAAATATAATTTGTCACATCTTAGACTTCATTAATATGTAATTAGTGCTCCTTATAGAACTTATATCTAGAAGAACGGATGATGTCACAATGTTGTATTGTGTGGTTTTTTATCTAAGAATATACTAGGTACCTAGCTATAGAGAGTTTAGTTTTAACTTATTGGCCAAACTCTAATAAGTTATTTAATCTTTAAAGTAGAAGATAAATAAATATTACAATATCAAAAAGATATCATATTAATAAAATATTTTATATTTAAGAAGGTTTGTACATAAGGCTTTCTAAAATATCTAAGAATTTCCTAAAATTCTTGGTTATACCTAATCATAACTAACTATTTGCTGGTAAGTTAGATTTTCAATAATTCCAAAGAAAATCCATAATCTTCTTTCAAAAACTCATCTTTATATCAAAATTTAACCATATCTCTATATATCCACCTTCAACACGTATATATATATAAATATATATATATATATATATATATATATATGTAGTCTTGAATTCCAAAAAAAATTCCTTTATATAGTATAAAATACTCAAATTATAATAAAATTCTTTCAAAACATACTTTTTCTTCAAAGGTTTTTTTCTTCCTGAACTTTAGAAATTCATATCTCTTGATTCAATTATTCAATTTTTTTCAAATTTACAAATAATATAGGATTTATTCTCAAGTATTACTACAAAAAATATTCAATGATAAATTTGCAACTAATTGTCTGGCATGTTAAAAATCTTAGCAAATGCTTCAAATCCTAATTTACAAAGACTTGAGTACTATTTTCTTCATATCTCAAAAATCCAAAATCCAAATTCCATAAAATTTATATATAAAGTTTATTAACATAATTACACAAATTTTTAGAAATTTTACGCTAAATTCTTATCAAATTGCTCAAGATATAGCTCAAAACACAACCACTAGTCAATCGAGTCACTACTCTTAGATTTGCAAGCACTGATTTCAACCTCCAATATCTCTTTTATCCCATCAATCCATCAAGCAATATGCCAAAATTGTAGCCAAAAAAGTGCTCTCTCCAACCTCACTTGTGGATCCTCTGTTGCTTTCCATACTCGTGCGTTATACCCAAAAGAATGACAGTAGGTACAAAATCAACACCTCGACTTTGAGCACCTTTATCTCCTTTGTAAAAATTCCAATTGACTCAAAATTTGAACCAAAACTATAGCCAAAATCTATAACTTGCTGATCGTGGCCTCCAAAAGCTCGAATGGCTAAAACATGTAATCCTAATCTCTAATATGGCCTCAAGCAACCTCCTTGAAGTCCATTGGTCATGATTTTTGACCAATAGGAATGGAGATTTTCATCATCCATTTCCATTTATCTATATGGATGCCCTAAACTCTCTTTTTGCTATCAAAATCCTTCTTCAACTCTCTTCTTTATAAGATTTATACAATATATGTTTTAAATACAGTATAAAAGAAACAAAATAAGACTTTAAGGATCACCAATATCTAATAAAGGTGACTCTAAATATTTAAAAGTTACTACTAATAAGATCAACCTCAAAGTCAATTTCAAAAGAAAATAAAGTTATATAAATTCTAATAAAAGTCCTATTAAACTATCTCTTTTTGAGGTAGTAATCTATCCACATCCTATAACCAACAAAAATCTATTAACATGGCTTTCACCATGTTATCTAGTATATTTTATATTAAATATATAAATATATTATTTTCATATGATAGCTAAACCACAACACAACAATAGACATATATATTTATTCTAATAATTATTTATATGATTAAATAGAAGTAAATAAATATAAATTAATTGAATATTATCTTGTGAAAAAACTTCTTAGAGATTTTATAGATACAACTTTGACTTTATACGTATTTGTAGTTGATTGATAGGTTAGAAACTTGATCCACAAATTAGCTACATGTTACATGCCTTTGTAGCTTATATAACAAGCTAACTATGTGGCACACATATAAAAAACTTGGCTTGTAAGTTAAAACATGGATTTCATAATTTAAACATGTGTTGTAGGTCCTAAAGCACGTTGCTACATAGCTCCTAGTTAGATAGTATATATGGAATAAGAATAAAGTCTTTTTTACTCTTGTCAATATTTTTTAGTCCTTATTCTTGTTTCAAGACTTTTTAGTCTTCTTGTCTTTGATAATAGCTATTCTAGTTTCAATACTATATTAGTTTTGAGTGAATATCTATTCTTTTTAAGTTATATAAGAATATATTGAATTTTTGGTTCTTTGAGATTCATGTTTTTGACAACATATCATGAAGGAACTTTAATCATATTTTCTTATTCAAAAGTATCTTAGATATAATTGACTAGTAGAATCAATATTTTTAAGCTAATTCTTCTAACATTTTTTTTAGATTATCAACTTTTTATTGACAAAAGTCTTTTTTGTTGAATATTTTTAATTAAACATACTTTGATGGCATAGTTTAGATTTATACTATAATTGAATAAAATAAATTTTAATACAAATATACATATATATATATATATATATATATATGTATAAAGATATTATTTTTTAAAATCCAAAAGATATCACTAAAAGCAAGTATAGTATATTACAAGGGCTTCAAAGATGTACTAAAGAAGATGTAGTGCATAAAGATGTAAGATATCTTATGTAAAGACATACAAGACAAAAGAAGATAAATAAACAAAGTAGTATCATGGCATCTTAAAATATAAGTAATAAGTAATTTTTAGAAAAACTTAACTAAAAAAATTAAATATTCATATTCAAAAAAAATCACTTATGAACATTGATGAAAATTAGACCTTAAGGCAAAAATCACGCCCTTATAGCAAATCTGAGGTTCTTTTACTAATTAAAGAGCAAAGTTATTGATGTAACTTTAAGAAGGTTGTTTTAGCATTGGTTATTAGTAATTTGGATTAATTATAAGTTTTTGAGAGCTTTTCAAGTCATAGATGTTTTTAATGATTTTAGATTTTGAAAAATAAGGCTTACATATTTAAAAAATTTGTGAATATTATAGCTAATAGAAAGGTGAAAATTTGTTAGTTTGTGCATGTGATTTTTTTGAATGTATTTAATAAATTGTAGATTAAATAATAGTTGGATTGAATAATATTGGAATTTGATTAAAATAGGATCTCAAATATTTGATTTTTAAGGTCATTGAGAGTTTTTGTCATCTTAAATAATTTTCCAATTCAATTGAAGCAAAATTTTATAAAAGAGTAGTGACCTTAGTTTTTTAAAACTATGCCAATTTGAAAAGCAAGTGAATAATTCAATAAGAGATTATTGATATTAGAAGCTCAATATCTAAGTTAGAGAAGGAAGACAACTAGTATATGAATAAAATTGGAGCTATTTTTTTCAATTTATAGATTCAATTTTTATAAAATAGTGCAGGTGTGATAAGAATATACATAAATGAAAATTAGTTCTTTTAAATTTTATTCAGGTAAATCCTAGTAATAATTTAATTAACAAAATATAAGAGAAAGATTTTACATAATATACAATTAGTTTGTTATAGTCAATTTCTTAGAAGTAAAGAAGTTGTTGGCTGTATAGAAAAGTTGATAATATACTATGTAGTCAATATTGACTGTATATATTCAAAACATTAAATAATTAAAACATCCAATTTAATTAATATATATAGTCAATATTGACTACATAGTATATTATCAAATTTTCTATGCAGCCAACAACTTCTTTACTTCTAAGAAATTGACTATAACAAACTAATTGTGTATTATGTAAAATCTTTCTCTTATATTTAGTTAATTAAATTATTACTAGGATTTACCTGAATAAAATTTAAAAGAACTAATTTTCATTTATGTATATTCTTATCACAACTGCACTATTTTATAAAAATTGAATCTATAAATTGAAAAAAAAAAACACTCAAAAAACACAAACACAATTATTAAGAGCTTTCCTCAGACAAGAATGTGACAGCTCGATCTTAGGCACTTCTGAACAAATTCCTAGTTGTATATGCAAGATTATCAACCTAGAAAGTTCAGAAAGGTATCAAAAAACCTTGTCCAACAAAGCATTTTATTGCAATTTTATCAATCCATTTAAAATAATATCCTCTCATGAGCTCTGAAAGTTGGATATTGAAAGTTCTCTTCACAATATTGTAAGTAAATATTTTGGTACTCACGAGGTGTCCAAATCTTCTGTTGACAGTGTTAATAAAAAAATAAATAAAAATAAAAAAGGCCTGCAATATGAGAACATGTATTCACTTGGTTGTATAATAGCTGCTTCAATCAACAATTTGTTTTGGATTTCTATGCTCATCAACAAAGATACTCACTTCATCAAAACCATCATTCTTTTGCCCACCAAATATATTCTATGCGTATTAACATTTTTCTTGATAATTCAAACTGCCTAACACCATACACGCGTTAACCCTTTTTCCAGGTAATAAGTGTCAATTCCTTTCCAACAGTTGGCATAAGAAAGATGGTCAAAGAATGAAATTCTCTGGCTTGGGCAAATGAAGCTACATCCAAATATGGATCTCCAAACAATACAATCCAGAGACTGCTGCACTACGTTGCTGACAGGCCACTTCTGGCAAACTGGTCTATGGGTTTGCTGAGAACAGTACAGGATGATACCGTGACACAGCTTGGTGTTGGCAAGGGAAACCTTAGCGCGCAACACTGGTATCCTCACGAGCAATGTACGTATCTCGACCGGAAGGGTGGGATGTAATTTCACTGTGAGCTTTCGACGCCCAAATTCGCGTTGGCCTGAAGCCGGGTCCCAAGGCGCCACCTTTGATAGATACCCGGCTTAGCTCTTGTTGAAGCCATCGTCGACATCATCGTAGAAACTGCCCACGTAGTCTCTATCCTGATTCTCTCTTCCCCAAATGTACGAGTAATAAACCGAATTAAGAAAATGTGAACTTGGTAACAGCCATCTTGAAGCCAGTGAAAAGGATTACGTACTTCCTTAAAACCTGAGAATAACCATCAACGCTAAGGTTAATCGAAATCTGTAGCTAGCACATTCATCTGCTATGTTCTGATCGTAGCTGGTCTGGATGACGGTTAACTGTGGCCACTACGGACGAATAGGAGGATACCAATGAAGAAATAGCTTACTTATGTGTAGTGCTAGGTTTGAGTTTACCGTTGAAGCCATCGCCTGAAGAAATGGCTCCTCAAGGACGATATATGACTTAGGCTCGTTGACATACTGAAGTCATAACCATATGGTAGAATTTCTCGCCAATCCACTAAAAAGCGATCTGAACTGTAACACCAGATTGAATGAACAGGGTCTGCCAAATAAACTAAAGTAGGAATTTTGATCGATTTGCTCTTCCTAAAAGTATACGCTGACGATGTGTGGAAGACTGAGGGGCAGAACTCCTTCATCCACGGGGCCTCCGTCAGATGCTGTATTAGCATTCAAAACCTAATGCGCTGAGTAACCTGGAAATCCAATTCCTCACGCGTGGACAAGAATTCCCCAATTGATGTTGAGATAGATCAAAGCAACCAAAGAAATATTGGTGGCCCGGTAACGGCACCTCTACACCAACACATATTCAGTACATCTCGAAGCCTCCAGAGATATCATGCTCGTAATTCTCCAGCTAATCCGTATCTGATCACAAATTGGGTCACGAAGTTCATGAATAGGTCACATGGCACCAGAGATTGATAAAAACTTGAAACACTAAAATCGTGGACCGCCTGAAGTCAACTTCCTCTTCGTTCACGACGCATTGCTGCCCCTGCGAGTAGGAACAGTAGACAAAGAGACTTTTCTGAAACGCCAAACACCGAATGGTTCATTCGGGGCAGGTTCCGGATCTCTTATGCAACTAAGGATTACAAGCCGTGCTCCGATTCCAGCGCAAAAACTTTAACTGCAGTGACGAAATAATTCACCGGACAGTTGTATTGAAATTATTCAGGTGACAGTCACCGACGAAGTGATTTCTGCCAGTGGCGTCGTCCAGAGTATGACAAATGTTGACTATAGTCAATAACCGGAGTAGATAACGATCTTAATTGTGTGTTGGCGTTTATCGAACACCGTCGGTATAGGGTGAGACATCAGTGACCAACGACATCCGTTGAAGTAACGATGTATCAAACTAACAAGAGGCAATCCATTCGACGTGTACTTACTAATAACCAAGCAGATAAGAATAGGGTTGGAAGATATCACTTCTTAGAATAGCCGAATTGGATTACTTGATAACTAATCAAGTTGGCATCCAAATGTAAAAATTTAGATGTCAAAACAAACTTATTGACATGCTTACAGTTTGTCACATCATCACAACTTAGATGAGTTAACATTGGTCAGAGACGAATTTTTTAATGTTAGGATCCGATCAATTATTTACGGTTTTAAATTGCTATCTAGTGGAACCACAGACATTTGCGGGTTGAATTAATAATGTACAAATTTAAGAAGTATGGTACATACCTGGCAAGGGTTTCATGTCAATATGAACAACTGCAGAGGATAGGTTGAATGTTCAAAAGTTTGAGTCGGTGAAATTATCGTATTCTTGTTAAGGAGTGTAGGACACTCCCAACTTCCTTAGCCTTGGATCTAGATTTCGCCTTCAATGCCTCTGGGTCTCCAAATACTTTCCAGAATCTGAGAGTCTCGTCTCCAGCTGCCGACGCTATCGTGTATCCGTCAGGGCTCTGCCAGAGAATATTGCACAAGTTACAAACATAGGTTGGATACACCAGCGGAATTGAGAGACCACTATCTCCTAAAGACCCAGAAGGTTACCTGTGCCAGATGCAAGACTCTTGAGGTATGGCCAGTGAGCTCAGCCAGCTTCACCATAGACGGATACTTCCACAGACATAGCTGATTTTGGCTAAATCCATGAGAACTGAGAATCTCCCGCTCATGCTTACTCCATTGCAAAGCGCACACCTAATATTGTGCACCGAGATGGCATATTGTTACTCGATTGCAGAATATTGAAAATAATTCAGAGGAAAAATAAACAATTAGGAACTCGGAACAATTAAAGACACCCAGAAAAGAAATGCATTCCGGATGAAAGCCAGAAGCAGACGTCTAGATAGTTCAGTTAGAATTGAGGTTACGTTTACACGACTGTTCCCACTTCGAGTAAAAATGTTGTGGAGGATAGTTTCAGCCCTCGGAATTTGAGATAAACAACTTCAACCTGATAGGTGTGATACTCGTCATTGTGCCTGAATGAGAGTTACATACATACCTGGGATTGCGTATCGATGCTATTAAGACAAACCCCCGTGTGCGTGTTCCAGAACTTGATGCAGCGATCAGCTGTTCCACCACCCGAAGCCAACAAATTACTCTGAAAAGGGCACCAAGCTAGAGCCTTGACTGCAGCTCTATGATCGTCAAGTCGGAGGAGGTACGGGCTGGGGCCTTGGTTTGAGGCAGCAGATGCATCCCATATGTAGAGTAGATTGTCATTACCACCACTGGCAAGTTGATGTCCGGACGGAGACCACTTTAACCCACAAACCTCCTGTTCATGGGCTTCCATTCTTCCAATTACATGGTCCCGTATCCTAACTGCAGGCATCGACAGAATTGTTGCAATGAAAGCTTGAAGAATAATCAAATTGAACTCATATACAACTTCAATTGCATCTTGCATCAGTTTAAGGGCTCTATAGTGCAGGAGTATCAGACAGGTACCTTCCATAAGGATATCCATACAGAACCGAAGTGCTGTACTCACGCAATCAGTGTTCCTAACTAAAAATTAGGCCACACAGCAGGCTGCTGACATCACAGTGGCCAATTCCCGATTAGACATTAAATAACAGAGCGAGAAGAATCCTAAGGAGAATGGATACCATCATGGTTTATAATCGAACTGTCGCGGCTGCCAGAGCTCAGTACGGGGCCGTTCCATGCTAAGCTTCCAACACGGGCGGAGTGGCCTTTCAGGGACCTCAACTGCATCCAAACAGATCCCATCCACTAGAGAGCATTAGGACAAACAAGGTACCAACTGGGCGCTATGACTTTGTAAACGGAACGAAATCTATTGCTCACTGTCTCCGACACGTTAAGGAACATTGATAGAAATCGGGCCGTGTGTCTCAGTACAGTATACAGACGACACAATCTACAAGGCTATTTCCTTCAAAGTGATGCGAAACGCCTTGTCTTACCTGTCGAAGCTCCTGGGAGTCCCACAGCTGCACGTCAGCGTTATTCAGCCCGACGGCAAGGTACCTGCCATCGGGTGCCCAATGGACACTTGTGACTGGCCCGTCTTCATCAGCAGTCAAGAGCTCTGCAATGGAACACGTTGTGGCATCCCAAAGGTAAACAGTATTTCCAAGAGCAATCGCAAGAACATTATTAGCACTCCAGTCTAGCAGGTTCAGGTAGTAGTCATCAAGGAGGTCAGGTGCATCAAGAGTCCTTTCGGCTGTTTGAGGAATATGCCGAAAGTATGCTCGGGGTTTTGATTCTCCAGGGGAAGCATTCTGAGAGTAAAGGGACTTGCGGGAATTTTCAAAACCCTCGGGTGGTGGTGGAGGTTTGCTCTTGAATGCAAGTATGCGACTCTGCCTCTGATGATTGTTGCAACGAAGCAAGTTTTCGGCAAGCTGTTTTTTGTACTCTTCCTGCAATCTCAACATCAAAAGTCGTAAAAATGATGAATCCTTGACACTACTCAATCAAACGAGATCCAACTTCAATCGCCCCTTCGAATGTAGATCGTCTTTAGGAGATTTCAAAATAAAAAGGCGCCACATGCTGGTGAGACAGGATGAGGTGGCTCGCTTCAAAAGCCTACCTTAGATGGAGAATGTACACTGCCATTATTCACGGCATTTTCCTCCAAGCCTGCAAGCATGTAATTAGCAATGTTGAAGTCCATGGCACTACGGTCGGTGATGAATCGGTCGCTCTACATGAAGAGATGCCACGAGTTAGAATAAGACAGTGATGGTAAATATCAATGAGGACGTGTCAACATCTCGTCGCACGTTGAGAAATTAGTACTTGCGTAGAAAATGCAGTGATTAAGCGAAATTCGTTGTAAAATCGAATTTCTTGGGCTTTGACCTATCGTAGGTATTCTGATGTAACCATTTTCACGCAAGAATACTGTAAGAGCTTTGGTGAGACAAGAAATTCGTTTGATCTAAATTTATATGATCCATGAATGCAGCAGTAAGATTTGATAATACAAAATTTTGGGTTGAGAAGATCACAGATAGGTGATTGCAAAAGCTCAGGAAAAGGAGCACCAGCCGCCGTCCACCTCCCAATTGCAAACGAAAATCAAAAGAACAGAATATGCAAACGTTGTACAGGTAGTATCGAGTCTATAACGAAGTATTACCGGTCTTCCTGGAGTCTTGCTCTTGGGAGTCTTCCTACCCAATGGCTCCGGAGAGAACTGTTCTCTGAGTGGATGTCTATCGTTCCTGGCGTCGCTTCTGGTGGGTGAATGGAAAACCTTCGCCATACCCTGCACAATCGATTCCTACACAGTACGCCCACGCAACCCTAGCAAGAAATAGAGTACGCCAAATTCCAAGGGGAAGTATACAGACCATGCAAGTAGGTCCAGATGTAACTAATAAGCCCTGAAATGCAAGTGCATGGACAATAAAGTAATGGACAAGTACAAAGAGTTCTTGACGCAACAATCATAAGAAAGCTTTCAAGTCAATGATGCAAAACACTAGACTCAAGCCTGGAGAATGTGGTCCGTCTGAAAAAATCCGTCAGTATCAGAATGCAAGCTTACAAAACCGCTTGCTTCGCATCCGAAACTGACAAGCGCAATTGTCCTGGGTCGTTACATAGAGCTGTTGACAAGCCAGTGAATAGGAAGAACTATAAGTCCAGAGTCCAAGCCTGAATGGCAGGGTCAAGAGCGACGTTGCAGGGCTGAACTGCGTGCAACACTCTTCGCTAGGTAACGTACAAAAGACCGAATCAGTTACTAATCCGACAGGGAACGATCAGTATAGACAAGCAAACATCAAAATAGCTGACAGCAATTCGTCAACAGCAACAGTGGCGATTGATAGTAAGTTGTGTTTGTCTAAATCAAGGCGCTGGACGCATCCCGAACCACGATCCTGACCACAAGAAGCAAACCCGCAAGCCAAATATGACAAACTGTTCATGAGTAGCAATGCCAAAACTCCAGTGACACAACCTTGCCTATTAGTAAGCAGCCAACGTCTAATTAGAGTTTGAAAGATTACAGGGTTGGGGATTGATGCAACGCGAATTGATCGCCGGTGAGAGTGCATTGACTGCTGCCTGAGGAATGTGTCAGAGGCGATCATCGACAATGAGCTGATCTCGGTCTCTCAATGGGGGCGGGATTTGAGCGGCGGCGAGCTCGAGACGAGGCTTCAACGGTCGAATTCCATCGCACGGCCAGTTTTGAATTTTGGCGTGCGGAAGGATCTAGAGGCCCTAGTCCCCGAACGTTCTATATGGAGTTCCCAAACGGGTGCTCCACGAACGAATGTACCCATCTGCTCTCCATAGCCTCCCATTCCTCTCATGAATTCGTATATTCGCATGTGTAGTGGATAAATGTACGTATATCAAGGCTATATATGTATAAATAATAATGGTTCTTTTTTTTTAGTTAGAGAATCCGTTACAGTTGTATTTTTTTCTTTTTTCCACCGATTGCACTTTTTATTGCATTTCTAGGACTATTATGTAACGGGGTTGATAATAATACCAAGTTTTGTAGTCCAGTATTAAATTCAAGGTTTACAACAAAAATCAAACATTACATCAATAACTTGTTTAGTTACCCAATCAATTTTAATAACATCAGCATCAATCATTACAGTATATATTATAAAAATAAGAAGAAAAAAATAAACCAAAATAAACCAAAGGTTTCACTTCTTCAATTCCTTAGTTATTTATTTATTCATTTATAAATACCTCTTTCAATTTCAGCAGCATTTGTGCCTTTCTTTTTTTTTCTTTTTCTTTTTATCTTTTCTGCAACAACAAATACAATATAATTTCAATTCAAAAATCATTTGCCTCCCTTGTTTTGTAGACTTCAATTTTTAAAAAGTGACTTTGATTTTCATGGATTTTGATGCATATTTATCAGTGTAATTTCTTTCAGATTAGAACAATAAAGTTATACATAGTAATCCATAAATAGTGCAATCTACATATAAATAGACACATACATCAAGAATAGTATTGAACATTTTAATTAAGAACAAAATGAGCGAAAGAATATACAACAAGTGTTATTTAAAATTCAAAATTCAAATAATATCAAGTTATACATTAAAAAAATTGTGGCTATATTTTTCTAATCTTAATCCAAATTATTGATTATGCACATCTTTTTAAAATCAAGAACAAGAGCCCATGCACAATCTACTCTCTTAGATCTTTTGATTTGACACTCATCACTTTGTATCAAATAAATAAGTTAATATTGTCAAATCTACATTAGAGAGATTTTATGACTTATTATGTAAAGAGAGCTTTGGTGGCTCCTTATGGATCATTTAATCCAAGTCCTCCAATCTCCCAATTTTTACAACACATAGACCATACTACCTTTGCTCTAATTAAAGATGATATATTTTTCTGATAAGAAATTTGTTATTAGGAACTCAATTTTGCATATAGCGTTCAAAGATTCAGCCAAAATTGCAAAAAAAGTTACAAGGATCATAGAAAAATATGAATGTTTATAATGACTCTTCTTGTCACATTTAATTTATGAAAACTTTAATACTTTGGTTTTTTATGTATTCTATATATGATGAATTGGTCAATTTATTTTGTTTTTAGCAATACTCTAAAAGATATATTTAGTAGTTTTCTTATATTTTGATGTGCAATCTAAGCCTATCCAAAGTTGTTTGTTCAAAAGAGTCTAGTATTTTTGTATTGCAAGTACACAATTGACTTAGCCTAGTTGATTTCTATACTTGAAGTCAAACTATATTAGTTATTAATTCTTATTAGATTTTACAAAAAAAGTTTTTTATATATTATAGTAAAAGTAGAGTTGTTTCCATATTGTCCTATTATTTTTTGATCCACATTCAAAGGTAAGCTAATGTCCCGAAGTTTGTAGACCTTGATTGTACTTTAAAAACAAAGATTTAATACTTCTCCAATAATAATAAAGAAATAGAGTATAAAGAAATAAAGTATAAAGAAACAATCTTTTCTTATCCTTATTACAATAGAAAAGTACTTTGTAAAGAAATTATTAATTTCTACTAAGGTACTTATCTTTTTACATAAGATTTTTATAATACCTTTCAATTGTGAGTTGTGTTAAAGTAAAAGTAGAAAATGTTACCTTGTATAGGATATTACCTTAAGTAAGTTGTTAGTGGTCAAAAGTTTGATTCTTGGTATATGGTAAGGACATCCAATGGATATAGGACGAAGTCATGGACTAAGAGTCAAAGTCAAAAAGATAAAGTATTAACAAGGGAATATCCAAAGACTAAGTATGAGTCATTAGTGTGTGTCATAGGATACCCTCGTAGTTCGTGAGATGCCAAAGGATCCTAAGAGCATGTGTGTAAGATGTACGAGTAATTAGTATTGGACATAGGATATTCTTGGGACTTGTGAGATGCCAAAAGGATCTTAGGGCCATGTGTGTAAAAGTCAAAGAGTGGACGTTGTCTTTTAGGGCAACAACTACCACCTATAATTAATGGGTGTTGGAAGTGAGAGATATCTTACTCCATACTCTCTTTGTGTGCAACCTTGCTGATGCTAAGTGTTGTGACTTCTAAGTACTTGTTTTCTTAATAGGTTATGGGCCCACTTACCTTTACTTGTGAGTTTTGAAGTACTTTGAAGTCTTTCTTGTTGTAAGGAGTAGATCTTATGGTTATTGCTGAAGTTTGAGTTTGTTATCTTCTAATCCTTCTTATGCATCTAGTTGTTGATGTAATTTTGGTCTTATTTATTGTTAAGTGCACTCATAGTCTTTGTTGATGTTAGACTCTATATAATCATATTTTAGAACTCTAGTGTTATATTTCTTTGTTGAGATTTATCATTGATGTTCTAACTTTGTACTTTCATATACTTAACTTCTTAAGAGATTATTCTATTTTCACAAGAAGTATTTTTTGTGAGGTTAGAAGTATTTTGTGAGAAAAGAGGGGTGATTGAAGAGTGGCAAAGCTTATACAAGATGTTCAGATAGAGTGTAAGACTTGTGAGAAGTCTTATATGTGAAGTTGAGAGTGATACAAGAGTGAAATCACTTATTTACTTACAAAGAGGGCATTCTGGGTTTCTAAGGCAGCAACACCTTTTTGTTGATTTTGAGAGTTCTATATCTTCTTTTCTTGATTTTCTTTCAGACATCCCTTCTTTAGACATGGCTTCAAGTGAGGGTGAGAACTTGAGAGTGATTGAGAAGTTTAGAGGTGATAACTTTTACCATTGGAAGAAGAAAATGAAACTTTTGTTGGCTTTATTGGATCTTTGGGACATTGTTGATGAAAGTGAAGATCCTCCAAGTGACAATGCTGATATCAAAGTGAAGGAATACAAACGTCGTGAAAGGAAGGATTTTGGAATGATTACAACAAACCTTGATGATGCCAACTTTTCACATGTTATAGCTTGAAATGGACTAGTGGAAGCATGGAAGACTCTTTGTAACATCTATGAGAGTAGAAACCTTGCCAACATCCTTTGGACAAGGAGGAAATTCTTGACAGTAAAGATGGAAGAAAGAGATGACCTCATGGCTCATATTAATAAGGTAAAATCACTTACTAACCAACTAGCAATTATTGACAAACCAGTTGATGATAAGGACATTGTGTTGACATTGCTCATGAGCCTTCCGAAATCCTACAACTACCTCATTGTGGCATTGGAGTCCATCAACATGAAGGAACTTACCATGAACTATGTCACATCAAGACTTGTCCATGAAGTGACCAAGAAGAAAGAAAAGGAGCTTGCAAGTGATGATTCGGCTCTATTTTCAAGACAAGAAAAAGGTAGCTATTCTCACCAACATGATAATTCAAAAAGTAATATGAAGAATTGCTATATTTGTGGAAAACTAGGTCATTTTACTAGAAATTGCTACAAGGCCAAGAAAGGAGATAGGGAGAATGCAAACAATGCTAGTGATAGTTTTGGTGGAGATGAGTATGCTTTCATGGCAAAAGAAAGAGCCTCTATGGCTACCATGTCAAAGTGGATTATAGATTCAGGTGCTACTAAGCACATGACACCATACAAGTGTTCATTTGATACTTATGAAGAAATTCCAGCAACAAAAGTGTGGTTGGGAGACAATGGCATGGTACAAGCTATTGAAATTGGCTCCATTGTAGTAGAGATTGTTGTGAAGGACCAATTGAAGAGGATCAGATTGAAAGAAGTCCTACATGTGCCAAAAATGAAGAAGAACCTCTTTTCGATGAGCAAACTTGTATCACATGGTTGTAAGGTTCAATTTGACATGAATGGATGTTTTGTCAAGACATTGGATGGCTAACATGTTGCCAAAGGCCTTAGAGATGGAAATATCTACTTCATCAATTGCAAAAAGGTGAATGGAGTTGAAGTGGTGGCATTTGCTGATTTTCCACAAGATCAAGACAAGCTTGGAATTTGGCATCAACGACTTAGTCATTTGAATGCCAAATACATAAAGGAGCTCCAATCCATGGTAAGTGGCTTGGATCTTGGTCAATTCAACCACAATGCCATGACACTTGCTTGTAAAGGATGTATACAAGGCAAACAACAAAGGGCTTCATTTCTAAGTGGAGTTGCAACACGTGCAACAAAATTGTTGGAGATTGTGCACTCAGATGTTTGTGGACCAATGAAGATACCATCAATTGGAGGAACAAGGTACTTTGTTACATTCATTGATGATTTCTCAAGAAAGGTGTGGATTTACATCATTAAAGCTAAGAATGAATGTTTCTCAAAGTTTAAGGAATTTAAGGCTCTTGTAGAGAAACAATGTGAGTGTAAGATCAAAGTGTTGAGAACGAACAATGGAAGAAAATACATGTCAAAGCATTTTGATGTCTTCATGAAGTTTCAAGGTATTGCAAGACAAACCTCTACTCTTTACACTCCACAACAAAATGGAGTTGCTAAAAGAGAAAATCGTACCATTGTGGAGATAGCAAGGAGTATGCTTCATACATAAAACCTTGGGCATGAGTATTGGGCAGAAGC